ATACTGCATCCGCTGTACCCGGTGTGGCTTCCTCTACATCGGGGAAACCAAGCGGAGACTCGGGGACCGCTTTGCAGAACACCTACGCTCGGTTCGCAACAAACAACTGCACCTCCCAGTCGCGAACCATTTCAACTCCCCCTCCCATTCCTCAGACGACATGTCCATCCTGGGCCTCCTGCAGTGCCACAACGATGCCACCCGAAGGTTGCAGGAACAGCAACTCATATTCCGCTTGGGAACCCTGCAGCCCAATGGTATCAATGTGGATTTCACAAGTTTCAAAATCTCCCCTCCCCCCACCGCATCCCAAAACCAGTCCAGCTCGTCCCTGCCTCCCTAACCTGTTCTTCCTCCCACCTATCCCCTCCTCCCACCTCAAGCCGCACCTCCATCTCCTACCGACCAACCTCATCCCGCCCCCTTGACCTGTCCGTCCTCCCTGGACTGACCTATCCCCTCCCTAACTCCCCACCTACACTCACCTTAACTGGCTCCATCCCCGTCTCTTTGACCTGTTTGTTTCCTCTCCACTTATCCTCTCCTCTATCCATCTTCTATCCGTCTCTCCCCCCCCTCCCTATTTATTTCAGAACCCCCTTCCCCTCCCCCATTTCTGATGAAGGGTCTAGGTCCGAAACGTCAGCCTTTCTGCTCCTACGATGCTGCTTAGCCTGCTGTGTTCATCCAGCTCAACTCCTTTCTTAATTGTGTACTTTCTTAATTAACTTATTCTTTCCAGTTTTGATGACTTAGAAACTTGTTTCTCGTTCTCATATTTTGGAAACTTCACATACTAACCTGCCGTTTGCTGATATTAAACTGTCCTTCTGAACTGAATTCAAAGTACTGGTAGCCCCTGGTCTGTTTTCTCTGTATGTTGAAAAAGTTCAACTTTGGAAGGAGTTAATTTATTAACCTCTTGGGTATCTTAGGCATTTAACTTAAATCTCAGGCTGTCTTAAAAGTTACATAATTGTTTCACTGTTCCAACTGTTTAAAATGTTGCCTTCACAAAACTAAAACTATAAGTCTATTTTTGTCTCTACTTTAAAATAAAATAATTAAATGACAATGCACACCGTTATTACACTGAATGCAATAGAAAAAATTTTGGTTTCTGTTATGGTAGAAAGATTTCCTACAACATTTGTACTGAGGAGTGAAAAATCATTTCATTAATCTGTTTCGAGACTAGTTTTGTAAATGTCTTTTTTTTAAAGAAAAAAAGGTAGGTTTTCAAAATGGATAATGTTTTAAAACTGTTTTGTTACATTACTTAATACTATATTTTGCGTGTATTTTGCAGCAATATCCTAGTGCAGAGAATAAAGGTACTCCAACATTTAACCAGCAGGATTATGAGCACGCAGAAGAATACCTGAAGAACCCACAAGCAAGACCACCATTTGTAGGTTTGACTAGTTCCTTTTATTTTATTTGATTATCTACTTAATGTACCTTGAAGCTAAACGAATGTATTAACTACTAACATAAGTTTGCAGATGAGACAAATATAGGTGGAGGGCGAGGTGGTGTTGAGGAGTTGGGCAGGCTGCAGAAGGACCTTGGACAGGCTAGGAGAATGGGCAAAGAAGTGGTAGATGGAATACAGTGTGGGGAAAGTGTTGTGCACTTTGGCATAGACTAGTTTCTAAATGGGTGAAAGAGTTTGGCAATCTGAAGGGAGAATTCCACAGGCTCACCGTTCTGGGTGAAGAAATTTCTCTTCATTTTGTCCTAAAAAATTTACCCCTTACCCCTAAACTATGACCCGAGATCTAGACCCCACTACCACCACTGCCGCTGCTGCTGCCACCTCCTGTTAGAATTTGGTAAATTTTCACTGCACTCAATCACTGCAAGAACATCTGTCCTCGATTAAGGAGACCAAAACTCTCACGATATTTCATGTGTGGCCTCGTCAGTGTCCTTAATAATTGCAGCAAGATGTCCTTGCTCCTGTGCATAAATCCTCTTCCTATGAGGGCCAACATACTGTTTGCCTTCCTTACCTCCTGCACCTACACGCTGGCTTTCAGCAACTAGTGCACGAGGGCACCCAGGTCTTGAACATTCCCCTCTCTCAATTTGCAGCCGTTCAAAATAATTTGCCTTTCTATTTATGTTACTAATGTGGATAACCTCACGTTTATCAACATTACACTGCACCTACCATGTATTTGCCTGCTCACTCAGTCCAGTCAAATTACACGGCAAAATCTCTGCATCCTCTTTACAGTTCACACTTCCACCCAGCTTTGTGTTATCTGCAAATCTTGAGATATTACAGCTGCCTCATCTAAGTCAATAACATATGATAGGTGGGGTCCTAGTTCCAATCCCTGTGGTACCCCACTAGTCATTGCCTGCCACTTAGAAAATGACCCATTTATGCCTACTCTTTTTGTTTCCTGTCTGCTAACCTATTCATCTCTACACTATTCCCAATCCTGTTTGCTTTAATTTTGCACATTAATCTTATGTGCAACTTTGTTGAAAGCCTTCTGAAAGTCCAAGTAAACAATATCCACTGGCTCCCCTGATGAACTCTACTAGTTGCATCCTCGAAGAACTCGAGTAGATTTGTCAAAAGTGATCTCCCTTTTGTAAATCCATGCTGACTGTGTCTGATTTTTACCACTGTTTTCTAAATGCTCTGCTGTAAAACCTAGATAATGGATTCTAACATCATTCGTACTATTGATGTCAGATTTGGTCTGTATTTTCCTGTTTTCTCTCAAACTCCATTTTTAAATAGGTGGGTCACATTAGCTACCCTCCAATCTGTAGGAACTGTTGCAGAGTTTAAAGAATCTTGGAAGATGACCAACTCATTCACTATTCCTAGGGCCACTTAAGTACTCTGCGATGTAGATTATCAGGCACTGGGGATTTATCAGCCTTCTGTACCATTAATTTCTCCAACACTACTTTTCTACTAATACAGATATGCTTCAGTTCCTCCCTCTCTCTCCAAACCCTGTGTGCCCCATCATTTCTGGTTATACATGTCCTCTTTTGTGAAGATATTCAAAAAATGAATTTATTTCGTCAGCCACTTCTGTGTTTGCAATTATAAATTCCCCTGTTTCTGACTGTAAGGACCTACATTAGTTTTTGCTAATCTCTTCTCATCACGTACCTGTAGAACCTTCTACAGTTAGTTCTTGTGTTCCTCACAAGCTTACTCTTGTACTGTATTTTTCCCCTTCTTAATCAATCCCCCTTGGTGCTCATTTTTTGGATTTCTAAACAGTTCTCAATCCTCTGGTCTGTTTTTCTTGCCAATTTGTATGCTTTTGTTTTGGGCATCTAATATTATCTCTGATTTCATTTGTTCTCCAAGCACGCTTGAGCCAGACAGGAATAAACTTTTTTTAAAGTTCATCCATTTGCTCTTTGAATGTTTGCCACTGTCTATCCATTGCCATTCCTTTCAGTAACATTTCCTAATTCATCACAGCCAGCTTGCCTCAAACCATTGTAGTTTGCCTTTAAGATTCAGGACCCTAGTCTCAGAATCAACTGCCTCAGTCTCCATTTGATGAAGAATTCTATCATCCCCATGGGATCTCTCGCACTACATTACCAATTATTCCTTCTTTGTTGCATAGTACCCAGTCTAATAGGGCCTGTTCTTCGGTTGGCCTCTCAATGTGTTGGTCCAGAAAACCACCCTGCATATACTCTAGGAATTCCTTTTCTACTGTATTGTGAATAATTTTGATTCACCCATTCTATCTGCAAACTAAAGTTATCCAAAATTACAAATGTTTCTCTACTGCATGCATCTCTGATTTCCTGTTTCCCAACATCACCGTTTACAATTTGGTGGTTTATAATACAACAACTAATGATTTTTGCTCCTAAGTGTTTCTCAATTCTACCCACACAGATTCTGCATTTTTCTGAGCTAATACCTGTCCTCTATATAGTGTTTATATCCCCTTTAACAGTAATGTAATGGCACCACCTTTTTCCTTTTCCTTTTTTATCTGTCCACCCTAAATACTGAATACCCCTGGACGTTCAGCTCCCATCCCAGGTCACCCTACAGCCATGTATTTGTAATCCCAACTGTATCATATCGGTTTGCATCTATTTGTTTGATTAATTCATCGACCTTATTTTGAATACTTCGTTTGTTCAGGCACAAAGGCTTGAGACTTGTCTCTTTCATGTTTCTTACCTCATTCCCACTTTTTAACTGTGGACTTGTTTGATTCTGGCCTTTGATTCCTCTGCCTGTCACTTCTCTTATTTCCCTGTGTCTTGTTATTGACCTGATTTCCCTTGCTCTGACTGCTTGCATAGGTTTTCAGACCCCTGCCAATTTAGTTTAAACCCTCCCAGCCACTCTTGCAAGTACTCACCCCAGGGCAATCAGGTGTAACCTGTCCAGTTTGTATTAGTTTCACCTCTCCCAGAACTGGTTCCAATTCCCCAGGAATTTGAAAGCCTTCCTCTCACACCATCTTTTTGACCGTCTTCATCTGAGAGATCCTGCTGTTTCTGCTCTGAATAACATGTTGCACTGGTAGTAATCCTGAGATCAATACTTTTGAAGTCCTACTTTTCGGCTTGCTTCCTACCTCCCTATATTCTGCTTTTAGTACCTTATCCTTTTTATTTAAACCTATGGTTGGTACCAGTGTGTACTATGACCATTGGCTGTTCACCCTCCCCCCTCCAGAATGTCCTTTAACTGCTGTGAGACATTCTTGACCTTCCCACCAGGGAGGCAACGTACCATCCTGGAGTTTCATTTATGGCCACTTAAATGTCTATCTATTTCCCCTCCACTTGAATCCCCAACGACTATTGAATTTCCACACTTTTTTACTTCTTCCCCCTTGCAGCAGACCCAACTATAATACCATGAATTTGCCTGTTGCAATTTTTCTGAGAGGCCATTTATCTCAACAGTTTCCAAATCAGTTTTGCCGGATAATGGCCACAGGGGATTCCTGCATTGCCTGCCCAGTCCTCTTACTCTGCCTGGTGTCACCCATTCCCTTTTCTGCCTGTGGAGTCTTAGCCAGCAATGTGACCACCTGTCTGTGTTAAGCACGATTCTCTCAGCTTCACGGATGCTCCACAGCGTCCAGGAGCTGCAGCTGGACACACCGCGTACTGGTCCCGGGCACTGGAAATATTCCTGGCTTCCCAGGTTTAGCAGGAGTAACATACCATGGCTTTGAGCTCTCCTACCATGCCTTACCCTTTCTAAATTAAACCTTTTGGAAGGTGCTTACTATCAAATAACAATATCAATTTCTGCAGGGCCGCCTTTCCTGTTCCTTGTTATTACACAATACAGAACTTAGAAATGATAAACTATAAAAACTACTCAAAGTATAAGCAATAAAAGTTGTGAATATTTACCCGACCTTACCGGCTACTTACCAATTGGTTCTCACTTGGACCATCCATTCCTGCAGGACAGAAAGACCACTCTAGTTTTTCTGTGACGTCACTCAACTTCTTTCCAACAGTTCTTCTGCAGCCCTAAGGACATAACACCATAAGAAATAATAACAGGAGTAGGACCCTCAACCCCTTGACTGCTTTTCCCCTTAATAGGATCATGACTAATCTGAAATTCCTCATGTCCACTTTCTACCTGTTCCCCATGACTGTTGATTCCCCTACTGATAAATAATTTAATCGAATTTAAATGTACGTAAGGATTCTGCCCCCATAGCACTCTGTGGCAAGGAGTTCTAAAGACTCTTAAATCCCTGAGAGAAGAAAAGTCTTTAAATTGGCAGTCTTTCATTCTGCAACTATGCTCTCTGGTCTTAGACTCTCCAATTTGAAGAAACATTCACATATCATTGACCCTGCTAAGTCCCTTAAGAACCCCATATGTTTCAATAAAATCACCTCTCATTCTTCTAAACTCCAATGAGTAGAGTCCCAGCCTGTTTAACCTTTGCACCCTTCCATACCGGGGATAATCCTCGGGAACCTTCTCTAAACCAGGCCCCCCCCACCCCACCTAGAGTGACTCCTAGTGCAATGGTCAGTTTGCTCAGTATTCCCCCGTACTGCGCCACTGTCCCACTCTCGTCTGCACAGTTTCCAAGAACCCCTGAACTGTTGAGCAACTACTGAGGCTCTTCAAATGAAACCTCCTGGGTCTCTATACTTGCCTCACCTGTGATCACACCCTCCTGTCCCTGGTGATAGACCAAGTTTAAATGACCTAGTCTGAGGGGTGGACTAAAGTGTCTAGGTAAATTTCCCTTTCACTGTGCTGCAGTCTGACCTGAAGCATTGAGAGGGAATCAGATAATGTACACGTTCTTTGAAAATATGCAAATGAATATTGTAATGTTGAACAATGGTTTTCAAGATTTATCAAGATGCTTTGTGAATCTTTTCAAATAAATCATTACAAAAATATCAATTTTATTTTACAGGGAACGTTAAGCAAATCTGAGTGGGAGGCTACAAGTAAGTGTACTCTTTAAAACACCTCTCCTACGTACATTTGAAATGGGAGCAGAAGTAGACTTTTTAGTTCTATCGAACCTGCTCTGCCATTCAACAAGATCGTGGCTATTTGTTTTTTGAATTCATCGTTGCCATCTATCCCCAGTAACATTTGATTCCATTACTTAACAAAAATCTATATCTTTGCTTAAACAATATTTGATAATCCCGTCTTCACGGCCTTTGGAGACAGTGTCTCAACCCTCAGAAAAAGGACTCTTCTTCGAATTTCTGTTCTAAAAGGGTATCTGCTAATTGCAGACTGACCTACAAGAAGCATCCATATCCACCTTGTCAAGACCATTCTAGATCTCTCGTGCTTCAATCATGAACCCTATCACTCTTTTAAACTCCAATGGAAACCAGCCCAGCCTATCCAAACAACCGTCTAAGTCAACCCACTCATTCTAAGTATCAATCTAGTACATCTCTTCTATTTTTAAATATCCTTAAATAAGACAAAACTGTGTGCAGTATTCTAGACATGGTTACTTCAATGCCTTTCATAACTGAAAAATGAAATCCTTAGTGTCTAATCCCCCTTATAATAAAGGATATCATCCCATTATCGTTGGTCATTAATGAGTTTTACTTCATGAAATTATTCACTTATATTGGCTTTTATATATTTCATTAACTTTAACACTTCTGTATCTTGTATTAAAAATAGAAATGACCGTAATCATTTCCTAATGACTCACCAAACACTTGGTCCTTTCTCTGCAGCACAGCAAGAGTTAATTCTAATCTGCTCCAAAAAATCTAGCTCTATCTCTAATTGCCTGTCACAGGGTCCTCATCTTGACTACTCCTCTCTGCTTGCCAACATAAGGTGGCAACTTGTATTAAATAGCACTTTTTTAACATCCTGAATCGTCCCAAGATGCTTCAGAGGGGTTTAAACCAAATTATGACATTGGCCACAAAGGGTGTTATTTGATCAGATAGAAAGCAGGAGTAGACTGTTCAGCCCCTCAGATGACCAAGTGACTTGGTGAGAGATTTTGAGTGTCTTCAAGGAGGAATCTGAAATAGAGGTGTGGGAAAGGTTTTCCAGTGTTAAGTGCCTGTGTTCCTGAAGGTATGGCCACCAGCGATGAGTATTCAAATTGGAGATGATGTAAAGGCCAGATTACATGAACATAGCTTGGAGAATTGTTGGGCTGAAGGAGATTAAAGAGATGGGGATGAATGAGGCCGTGGAAGGATTTAAGGACAAGGATGAGAGTTTTTAAAATCAAATGTTACTTGATTAATAGGTCAGTGAGCACAGGGCTGAAGGGGTAATGAGTCTTTGTATGAGTTAGGATATATGCTGGAGTTTTGAATGATTTCCAGTATAAGGAGGGGAAAATATGAAACCAACTAAGGCATGTGTTGGAATAGTCAAATCTAGCAATGGCAAAGTGAGGGTTTCAGCATGGATGATCTGAAGCAGGAAAAGTTACAGGCAGTGAAAATAGATAGTGTTAGTGATTGTGTGAGTATGTAGCCAGAGGTTTACCTCAGGGCCAGTGTGACACCAAAGTTGTAAGCAGTTTGGTTTAGTCTTAGACCATTGCTAGGGAGATGGGTAGAGTTGGTAACGAGGGACCGGAATTTGGAGTGGGGCCGACAAACCATGGCTTACATCTTCTCCATTGTAGAAAATTTCTGCTTCTTTAGGTATTCTGGAATTTTGGTACTTGAATTACCAAATTGTTTTTAAAAACAAAAGTGTTTCTTTGAACGATGTTGTTAAAGGAGTCCTGGTTAATATTGATATCAATTCCTTCTCTACAAATAATCAATAAGAAGAAGGATCCAGTGACATTGTTGCTCCTCTGTGTTGAAGCCTTTTTTATAGAAGCCTTACAGTGTGGAAGCAGGCTATTTGGCCTATTGAGTCCTAACCAACCATCCAAGGAGCAACCCACCCAGACCCACAACCCGATTTCCATAACCCTGCATATCCCATGGCTAATTGACCTAGCCTGCACGTCCCTGGATACTATGGGCAATTTAGCATGGCCAGTCCACCTAAATTGCAGATGTTTGGACTGTGGGAGGAAAGTGGAGCACCCAGAGGTGCAGATACAGGGAGAATCTGTGGACGACACACAGACAGTCATCTGAGGGTGGAATTGAGTCCAGGTCCTTGGTGCTGTGAGGCAGCGGTGCTAACCCCTGAGCAACCTTGCTGCCCTATACATTGTTATAAAGGAAATCAATGATTTATCATCAATAATTGGGTTTATGTCATCAAAATAAGTGAACACTAGCTGGACTGATGTATTAATCTTTAACTTTAGGGAGTGTTGTATGCTATCATAGTTCCATGCTTTTGATCTGCGAGTGTGAAGGGCAATGAAATAAAACACTTGTGGTGTTGTATTGCTGCCAGTAGGTGGTGTGCATATAATACATTAAAAAATACAAAATTGCTGTGCCTCATACAAGAAACACATTCGCATTTCCTTACTTCTGAGATGTAGCCTCAATGCTTTTCAGTATATTCTGAAGGCTTTGTTTATAAAATGCACTCAATCAGTCTTTCCTCCTTTTTTTTTTTCTTCCTACATATTCCAATTACAGAAAGGCAAGCATGGTGCAAATAAAATTTAATCTAGAGAAGTGTTGCCGTAGAGTCATGAAGTATTACTGTATGGAAAAAGATCCTTTGGCCAGTCATGCCCAGGGCAGTCATTGTGCGAGTGTCCCGGTCTTATCTAGATGCATTTTCCAGCCCACAGCCAGTAGCTTTGCATGCTGCATCGCTTCAAGTGCTCATCAAAATACAATTTAAATGTTGCGATTGTTCCTGCCTCTACCATCCTTTCAGACAGTGAGTTCCAGATACCCACCACCCTCTGGGTGAAAACATTCTTTCATAAATCCCCTGTACACTTCCTGCTCTTCACTTTACTTTAAATCTATACCCCCTGGATAGATTCCTCCACTGGAAAAGTTTCTCAATGTCTGACCTATTTATGATTTTATCATTTGAGCACCTCAATCAGCACCCGCTCCCGCCACCCCCGCACCCCACCAAAGTCTTCTCATTTCTATGGAAATCAACCCTCTCTCTTCATAGCTGAAACAGGCAGTATGCTGGTGAATTTCTTTTACGATCTAGTCTAGTACAATCACACCTTTACAGTGTGGTGACCAAACGCTGTACCCAGTACTCACTGACCTTATATGCAGTTCCATCGTAATCTCCTTGCTCTTCTATGCAATGTCTCAGCTAATAAAGGCAAATATCCCATCGGCTGCCTTATCCACCTGTCTTGTGGCCTTTAAAGATTTCTAGACATGCACGCTAAAGATGTCTCTGATCTTGTACTTCCTAGGGTCCTACTGTACAATGTATATTTCCTTGCCTTGTTTATCCTCCCAAAATGCATCACTTTTTCAGGGTTCTGTTTGCCTTTCCTCTGCCCATCTGACTAGCCCTTCTATATTGTCCTGTAATCTAAGGCTTTCATCTTCACTATGTATTACATGAGTTTTTGTCATTAGTGAACTTGCTGATCAAACGGCCCAGATTCATGTCTAGACTATAATGCACACTACTAATGGCAAGGGACTTGGCACGGAGCCATGTGGCACACCACTGGAAACAGACTTCCAGTCACAGCAGCAATCATCAGTCATTACCCTTTGCTTCCTGTCAGTCAGCTAATTTTTGGATCCAATTTGCCAAACATACCTGGATCCCATGGGTTCTTATCTACTTGACCAGTCTCCCGTGCAAGAGCCTGCCAAAAGCTTTGCTGAAGTCCAGTTAGACTATCTCTACTCTGCTACTATCATTCACATATCTAGTCACCTCCTCAAAAGTTATTCAAACCTGTCAAACATGAACTTTCACTGACAGAGCCATTCTGAATAGCCTTGATTAATCCTTGCATTTCTAAATGGAGATTAATTCAGTCCCCAGTTTTGTTTCCAATAGTTTCCCTACCATTGATATTAGATCCTCGAATCCTAGTAAATTTCTTCCTTGCCTCCAGCAGCCTGGGATCCATCTCCTACGGCCTGGGACTTATCCAATTTTAAGTCCACTAATACCACCCCTCTCTCCATTGTAATTTGTTCAGATATATCTTAGTCGTTTTCCCCGGCTTCCATACCTACATCGTTCTTCTCTTTGGTAAGAACAGACCTAAAATAGTCTTAAAACCTCACCTACATCCTCTGGCTCTTCCCCCTTGTGCAGCTGGATTGTGATAGTTCCTCTGAGAAGTACTGTCTCCTACTGTATTTTTCCAACAAAGTGAAACTGTTCTCGAGTAAGCTGCACTCTACTCTTTGTGCGCCGCCATTGTTCTGACTAATGGGGATCTCTTCCTTTCCTGACTGCACAGCCCTAAGCTGCAGGGTGACCACACCTTAAAGTGCAATTCACATAACTCTGAGCCTCATGGATGCACTGCTGTGTGTCTAGCTGACACTCGAGTTCCAAAACCCATTGATCATGCTGGTTTTAAACTGCTGGGTCTTCCTGCAGATGTGGTCATTCAGACTGCCAGGAATGTCTAAGATTTCCCACATACTGTAGGGTATGTAATACATGGGACCGAACTCCTGTCATACCTTCATTTTAAAGCAAGCAAGCTCCTGTCCTAAGTTTAAACCAAGTAAAAAAAATTGTTTTAAAAAGAAACTTGGAAGCTTTTCTTTCAAGTGGGGGGACAAAAACAACTTGCCAAGCAGCTCACTGCTTTGTGCTGATACCACTGTCGTCAGTCTTTTCAGTTTCTGGTGGGATCATTGTTGGGTGCAGCTGCTGCTCTGACTGAGCTCGATCTGGTCCTTGCCCCTCAGGCTTTTATCAGAAAGCTGTGCAGCCGCTGTTCACTGTCAAGTTTGCTGTACTGCTGCTGCAGCTGGCTTCCCGTCAAGATAGCGGAGTCCATAGACAAGAAAAGAAATCTTATCCTTATTTTTGGCCTCAGTCCCTCACTAGTTCTGCTCCCTTAGACTGATTCTTTGTGACGCTGACCTGCTGCGCACCCCTCCCAGTCTGCTTCATAGCGATGCTGACTCGCTGCACACTCCTCGCAGTACTGTTAGAGGAAGTTTTGGTGGGAACATTGAGAAGAGACAATGTAAAGTAAAAGATACGATTCTTGCAAGTATGTGGGATTTGTGGGTAAATGTGTGCAAATGTTGAAGGTGGCAGACTGAGAGTGTGATTAATAAGGCCTGGGCAATCCTGGATTTAATAAATGGAGGCAGAGTTTGCCAAAGCAAAGAATCTGTGCTGAACTTTTGTAAAACTTGGGCTCAGTCTCAACTGGAATATTTCTGGGTGGGAAGAATGACAGCATTATAAAGTATGCAGAAAATATCTATGAAAATGATCCTGGGCATGAGGGACTTCTTTTACACGGCTAGATTATCTGGGCTATTCCTCTTGGGAAAACAGAAAATCAAGGGGAGATTAAATAGAGGTGCTCAAAATTGAGGAGTCTGGACATTGGTTTTCTGTCATTTCCCAATGGAAACCACAGAGATAATTGGCAAAAGAAGCAATGGCAGCATGAAAGAAACTTTCACTCGGGAAGGATTTGGAATGCACTGCCTGAGTGTGTTGGAAGCAGATAATATCTTCGCTTTTGAAATAGGATTTGATATTTACCTGAACAGAAGAGATATTAGCAGGGCTTTTGGGAAGAAATGTGATTAGGTCATAGAGACCCAGCATGAACATAATGGGCCAAATGGCCACCTTGACTGCTGTAATCATTCTGTGATTCTATGAAGACGTGACAGAAATACAAATTCGACCAATTTGATGGTTGACTGAAGCTATTATCAGCAGCTCGTTCTAATTGTATTTTCTTCACTTTTTGCTTTCATTTTTTTCATTGCTTTACTTTAAGGAAAGTGACAAGCTGTTCATCAGTGGGTGCTAGATGTGGCTCAGTGAGTAAACGTTGTCTCCTCTGAGTCAGGAGGTGTGTGAGTGTTAAAGACCAACACCAGAGGCCTGAGAATAAAGATCAGTGTTGACATTCTGATTCAGTACAGTAATGGGGGAGTACTCTATGTCGGAAGTGCCATCTTTACGTGAGATGTTACACTGAGGTGGATGTAATAGATCTCATAGTGCTTTTTTCTTTCAAGAAGAACATGGAAGTTCTCTGTGGTGTCCTGGCCATATTTATTCCTCTATCAACATCACAAAAAGTCATCTGGTCCTTACCTCATCGGTTTTTGTGCGACTTGCTTTGTACAAATTAGCTGAAGCATTTCTCACAGCAGTTACTACTGTTGAAAGGTACTTCATTGACTTTAAATAAGTTTGGATGATGAGAGGCTATGAAAAGCAGTAGGCTTTTTGGTTGAAGATCAACAGATAGTTGAAGAAAATGTTTTGGATAGTGGTAACCGTCAATGTCTTAATTCTTGATCTCAATCTTTAATTTTTTTAATAGTCTTTGGTGTGATGTGGGCATCTCTGACATTTGTTGTCCATCCCTCACTATTCTTTAACTGAGTGGCTTGCTAGGCCATTTTAGAGGATAGGTAAGTGTTAACTATATTGCCTGGGATCATGTTGATAGATTTCCTTCCCTGAAGGTTATTAATGAATGCACTGGAGTTTTTTTCTTGACAGCACTGAAACAGCTTCATTATTCCAGATTTATTTATTAATTTGAGATTAAATTACACCACCTGCTGTCTGTCTGGGGTATTACCGTTCTGAGGAAGGGTCACTGGAAGTGAAACATTTAACTCTGATTTCTGTCCACAGAAGCTACCAGAATTGCTGAGCTTTTCCAGCAATTTCAGTTTTTATGATATTACTACTATACCATCTTCTAACTATTGTAACAACGACTCTTCTTCTTTAGTACTGACTTGGCTGTAAAATGTTTGAAAAATCTGGTGCACGTGAAAAGCACAATGTAAATGCCCATCCTTTTCCTCCTTGTGCTGTTTATCCCAACCTGCCTCCCATTTTTGGATTGATATTTTATAGTCATTATGGTGTATCAGTAATTAAGTAACCTATTTTTCACAATATTGACACTCATTTTCCTGTATGTTAGTTTCATTTGAATCTGAAAATGCATTAACATTAGAGCCACAATAATCCATTTTTGTTGTATGCTTTCTTCTCAGGTATTTACTTGGTATTTGCATTTGAAAAGTTGCCATAAGAAAACAAACAAACCTCAATTTCTCGCTGCAATCTTTGGTACCTAAAGAAAAGAAGCTCCAGTACTAGAGAGGACTTAATTCTAGCAGTTGTTTGAAACTGCTTTGAAGTACTGTATTTCAAGACTGACATTTATGCCTGTGAAGTCTGGAAGATATCTTGGAGATCTTGGATTAGAACTGCAGCCCTTGGTGGGCCAGTGTTAGATTTACAAGAAACGATGTCTTGCTGGAATGTTTTTTTTTTGTTAATGTTCTTTGTCAATACTTGTTTCACTTGCAAGTATATATTTTTGTTTAAAACATTTTTGGATACCGTACTTTTTTACTTTTAGGATGACCAAGTTCAAGAAATGATGTTAGAAAGTTGAATTAGTTGTTAATTATATTATAAAATAAAATATACGGTAAAGAATGTTTTGGTCTTGCTGCTTGTAACTTGAGTTTCTGAACACATTGGGTTGAACAGTCACCGAAGCTTTGTGTTCATGCATTTTCTGGAAAAATACAATCTGGCCATCTTTTGAACCCATCTTCTATTTACTTCGATAATCTTTTCCAGCAATTTAATATGTTTTTCTTTTGAATTAGCACAGCCTCGGTCTTCTGTTTATGTTCCTTGTGGTTGAATCTTTTCTCGTGAATAATTTCTCTGGACTGACTTTCAGTCTCCTGCTTTTGTAAGTTTGATTTTATTTTGAGCCATCTCCTAGTTTATCAAGTCCAATCCTTTCCTCCAAATGTATGCTCTACCTTCAGAAGACTCCAGATTTTCCAGGTAGTAATCTGTAATGCACAGAGTACTGAAACCAAAGTTTCATTGCTCAATACATCATCTTATTTACTGGCCTAATTCCATAAGAGAGAACTTCTGAATTTGAGCTGCTCAAATTCTAATTTTAATGCCTACTGACTAGGAAGACTTGATTTGTGATGCATACACTAAAGTAAATGGTCCTATGGCAGCTCTCGAGTGTGCTTCACTGAACAGCTTCTGTAGCATAGTGGTTATGTTTACTGGAGTTGTGGTTTACCAGTCTGAGATATGAACTCAGATTGCACCATGATGATTTGTGAATCGATTTCAGCTAATTAAATAATTTGGAATAAAAAGATGACTCCAGTAATGGAGAGTGTGAAGCTAATGCATGGTTGTAAAAATCCACTGAGTTACAAACATTCTTTTGCAAAGAAAACCTGGTTTTACGCAGTCTGGTCTGTATGTGACTCTAGACTTTTAAGTGTTTGCATGCAAGAATATGAAAAAGCTGGTATCTATGTTCAGTGGGTAATAGGGAAGGCAATTGGAACGTTGGCCTTTAATTTCAAAGGGAATGGAGTATAAAAGTCAGAAGGTTTTGCCAAAACTAAGCAAGGCACTAATTGGATCACAACTAGAATACTGTGCACAGTTTTGGTCTCCTTATCTAAGGAAAGATGAGTATTTGAGGTACTCCAGAAACGTTTTATTACCAGATATGGAGGGACTGTTATGAACAGGGGCTGGGCTTTATTAGAATTTAGAATGAGAGGCAACCTTATTGAAGCTTTCAAGATTGTTGGGGAACTTGACAGGGTAAATGCAGGAAGATTATCCCCACTCCAGCTGGGAGAGGCTAAGACCAGAGGGCATGATTACAGAATAAAGGGCCACATGTTTAAGACACATAAATAAAGAAGAATTTCTTCTGTCAAGTTGGTGAAGCTGTGGAGTACTTTACTGCAGAGGGCTGTTGAGGCTGGGTGGTTAAATATATTCAAGGCTGAGGTTTGTTCTAATCAGTAAGGAAACCAAGAGTTAAGGGGGAAAAAGCAGGAAAGTGGAGTTGAGGATTATCAGATCAGCCATGATCTCACTGAATGGTGAAGCAGACACCATGGATCTGAGGAAGGGTCAGCAGACCTGAAACATTAACTCTGACTTTTTTTCTTCACAGATACTACCAGACCTGCTGAGCTTTTTCAGCAACTTCTGTTTTTGTTCCTGATTTACAGCATCTGCAGTTCTTTTGTTTTTTTTTATTTAGTGTTTGCTCATAGGTGTTCCAGTGGAATGGAACGCCCAATAGTGTATGCATTCCAGACTTTGGCTAATGCGGAGCGTAAATATGCCTAGGTAGAGAAAGGAGGACTGGCGGTCATATTTGGTGTCAGGAAGTTCTACCAATACCTTTATAGACATAAATTTGCAATAGTAATGGACCACAAACTCCTGCTAGGTCTACTTAAAGAGGATAAAGCAGTCCTGCACATAGTTTCAGGCTGAATTCAGTGGTAGGCACTAATACTACGTGCATACAATTACAAGTTGGAACACCATCTGGAGGGCCAAGCAGCGAATGTGGCTGTATGGAGGCCCCTCCCCCGTCAGACACCCCACCGGTGGTGCTGCCACCGAAAGAGGCCATAATGGTTTTAAGTTTTCTCCAAGCACTTCCAGTCGCAGCGACAATATCAGACTTTGGACGCAGACAGAGCTGGTCCAGGCAAAACTGAAGCAGCTGGTGGTGATGGGGGAATCCAAAGGGCCATCATAACCAGAACTGAAACCTTTTTGGACCTGGAGAGACCAAATCACTGTCGAGGATGGCATATTGCCGTTGGGAGCAAGATTGATTGTCCCAAGTAAAGGTCGCTGCCGGACATGGGCTGAACTCCACCAGGGTCATCCAGGGGTTTCCAAAATGAAGATGCTGGCAGGAAATTATATCTGGTAGCTATGATTGGATGCAGACATAGCCATATCAGTGGGGCAATGCCCGGAATGCCAACAAGGACAAAAGTTACCACCAGCAGCTCCCCCACATTCTTGGGAGTGTTCGAGTGAACTTGGACTCCGTTACACGTCGGCTATGCAGGTCCTTTCGTGGGCTCAGTGTTCGAACTCGTTGTGGACACCCACTCAGCGGTTGGGCATACATAGAGTTCATTTGTCAAACACGGGACGACAGTCGAAAAATTGCACATATCCTTTGCAATCCGCGGACTCCCAGAAGTATTGGTCACAGATAACAGGCAGTCATTTACCAGCAGGGAATTTGAGTATTTCCTAAAGTCAAATGGCCATCGACATGTAAACATAGTTCCATACCATCTATCAACTATCTGGCAGAAAGAGAAATCCAAACTTTAAGGCAGGCTTACTGGACAGACAGCTTTAGTCGATACCAGACTGTCCTGGTCTCTATTTGATTATCGGACCATCCCTCATGCAACTACAGGGATAGCTCCAGCAGAGTTGCCAATAGGGAGAAAGCTCCACACCAGATTAAATCTGATCTTCCTGGCCTTTGGGGGGTTTAGGATGAAATGGCATCAGGAATGCCAATGCTGAACACAAGACTCTTCTAAGCGAGAGAGACAATTTACTTCACAGGACGTAGTTTGTTGTAAGAACTGTGGGAATAGCCCTGCAGGGGTAAGAGGCACAGTCGATGTGAGGTCAGGTCCAGTGGCATAACAAGTTTGGGTAGGTGCGACGGTCCTGAACAAGCGCATGGACCATATGAAAGCTGCAAACTTGCAAACGATGCGGGAGCAAAACGTTATCAGCTCCTTGGAGCGGTCAGATAGACTGTTAGAATCCATGGGTTCTCCCTCTCCATCAAGTGCAGATATCTAAAACATGAGTCTGTGTACTGGTCAGTGGTGAATCAGGATATTCAATGACTTGTGAGTGCGTGTGAGAAGTGTCAAAGGCACCAACTTCAGCAGTGGAGGAAATATCTACATCCACATGACATTCCAACCACACCTTGGATGAAATTAGCAACAGATTTGTTCACAGTTCGTGATGAAAATTATATCCTTGTGATGGACTATATCTGTAAATTTCCCATTTTTGAATGTTTGAACAACACAACAAATGAGACAGAGATAGTAGGAACTGCAGATGCTGGAGAATCTGAGATA